TATGGGAAGAGGGGAAGAAGTGCATGGACGCACCTCAGAAAATTATAAGGATTTAATGAATTCTACTCGAGATATCACTTCAAGGCTTCGTAACCTCGCTTTTCCATCCGCTGATGATGCAATATTGATTCATCAAAACCCAGAAGAGAGATTTCCGTATTTTGATGTATCAAGGTGGCGAATACACTTCGATGGGGAGTTGAGTGTTACCAACTTTTTGGAAAAAATTGAGGAGCTTCGTTTATCTCACGGAGTTACAAAACAGCAGTTGCTAAGATCTGCTCCAGAATTATTCACGAAGGATGCTCTTTTCTGGTTTAGAACGCAAAATTTCAAGTCATGGGATAACCTGGTGGAAAAACTGAGGAAAGATTTCTTTCCTTATGACTATGAGTTTGATCTCTGGGAAGAAATACGCAAACGCACTCAAGGTTCCAAAGAACGAGTGATGACTTTCGTGGTGGCAATGGAGAATCTCTTCAATAAATTAGGTCCGAATAAACCCTCCGAAGAAGTTAGAGTTAAAACTATTCGTCGAAATTTGCTCCCTTACATTCAGTCTCAGCTAGCCTTGGAGGCAATTGATTCAGTTTCGGATTTGGTAAGACTAAGTCGCACAGTGGAGGAAACTGCGATCCGTACTCAGAGATTCTGTCCACCTCCAACGAACTACAAACAGATGTTAGAGCCAGAACTTGCCTACCGAAAACCACCTGGTAGCTCAGCTATTTCAGTTGTAAGTACTGATTGTGGTAATTCAACAAGAGTCTTGAGTTCAGAATCTGATCCTGTTACCAAATCTTCTCAAAACTGTTCTCAACCTTCCACCTCTTTGATTTGTTGGAACTGTCAAAAATCAGGACATCGGTTTAAGAAATGCACACAACCACGTAACAAGTTTTGTTTCAAGTGCAGACAAGCAGGCGTTATCGCAAGTACTTGCCAACAGTGTCCAAAAAACGGGCACAGAGGGTTGTGTTAGGGCAAACCCCACCCACTTCTGAGAGGATAGCCCATTTAACCTCTACCAAAATAATAATTGACTTCGTCCTATCTCACGCTAAAAATGATGATAGACCATTTCTCAAAGTAGACATTTATGGGAAAGAATTCCTTTCTTTATTGGATTCTGGTTTTACTAGGACAACGTTAGGAAGTAAGGGATAGAACATTCTGAAGAATATTTGTCAGTTGGATAGAAGTGAGACACAGAAATGTACGGTTGCAAACGGAAAGGAGTGTTATATAATCGGAAGTATACGGGTTCCAATAAAACTTCGGGATCGCGTAATGACATTCGAAATTCTGGTTGTCCCTAAACTTCTCCACTATCTTATTTTAGGTATTGACTTCTGGTCGAAAATGGGAATTGTACCGGACCTTTACTCAGGAGAATGGACTTTCAGGTCTGAGGAAGGTGTTGTAACAACAGAGACCTGTGCAATCCACAGTACAGATTATCTTACCCCTGCACAGCGCAAAATATTAGATGACCTAATAGATAGTACTTTCCGGTCAATGGGAGACAAATTGGGTTGTACTGATAAAGTCGAACATCATATTCGAACACACTCCCCACCGATAAAACAAAGACACTATCCACTCTCCCCTACATCACAAAGGCAAGTTAACATTGAATTAGAGAAAATGTTGGCAGAGGGGATAGTGGAACCTTCCAATTCACCATGGGCATCTCCCATTGTTCTTGTGAAAAAGCCCGACGGTCAATATAGATTCTGCGTGAACTATAAAAAACTGAATGAAGTAAGTCTTCCTGATGCCTACCCTTTACCATTCGTTAGTTCTACACTTGATAAGTTACGAGATGCAAAATTTCTGACCACACTGGACATAAAATCGGCGTATTGGCAAATTAAGGTGGCAGAAGCTTCCAGGCCCCTTACGGCGTTTGTTGTGCCAACTCGAGGACTTTTCCAGTTTTGTAGAATGCCCTTTGGTTTACATAACGCTCCAGCTACTTGGCAGCGATTTCTTGATGGAGTAGTGGGAGTGGACCTTGAGCAGTATGTGTTCGTTTATCTAGATGACGTGGTCATCTGTACTCCCACCTTCGATCAACACATCTCTGTTTTGAAAGAGGTCTTGTCTCGAATCATGGCCGCTGGATTAACCCTCAATAAAGAGAAATGTTGTTTTTGCAGACCAGAGTTGAAATATTTGGGATATGTTGTGAACTCGACCGGTTTATTGGTTGACCCTGGAAAAGTCGAGGCCATTATCCGCATTCCTACTCCTCGGAGTGTCTCTGAAGTAAGGAGGATAGTGGGTTTGACCTAGTGGTACCGTCGTTTCATACCCAACTTTTTAACTCTAACAGCTCCACTAACAGCTCTTTTGAAGAAGAATGCCAAATTTGTCTGGTCAGAGGAATGCGAGAGAGCATTAGATACAATTAAAGATCGTTTGATCTCAGCACCGGTCCTTTCTTGTCCCAATGTTGACCTACCATTCACCATACAAACGGATGCGTCAGATTATGGTTTGGGAGCGGTCCTATCACAACAGCACGAAGATGGCGAAAAGGGTCGTGGCTTACCTGAGTCGTTCATTGACGAAGAGTGAACGTCGGTATACTACTACTGAAAAGGAGTGCCTTGCGGTGCTTTTCGCGGTGGAAAAACTTCGTCCTTATATCGAAGGATCGAAATTTTCAGTTGTAACTGACCACTATAGTCTGCGATGGTTGTTTCAGATCAAGGATCCAGTAGGAAGAATTGCGCGATGGGCACTACGTTTACAACAATATAATTTTGACATAATACATAGGAAGGGCAAAGAACACGTGGTACCTGACACTCTTTCTCGGGCGGTACCAATACTAGATGCAATTCTTGACGTGAACGATACAGAACAGACCCGTATAGATCATTCCAGTTCAGACAAGTGGTATTGTCGTATGGTTAATCAAGTCCAGAAATCTCCATCACGATATCCTCTATGGAGGGTAGAAACTAATAAACTCTATAAAAGAATTCGAGTGAAATACCCCAACCTGGATGACCCTTTAACCAATCAGGTCGGCACGGCACGAAGTCACGGGAATGACCCCTAATTTCATTGTGTTTGAACGTGAGTTTAGCGTTTCTGGGAAAGATAATCCTGATACTGAAGATATTATAGAATTTAACCGAGAATTAGATATTTCAACTCGTAACGAGAATCTTAGAGAGGTTTTTCAAGATGTATCTCGAAGACTGAAGAAAGCATACGAGATCAGTAGAAAGGGATACAATCTGAGACGACGGGATGAGCGCTTTACTATATCACAGAAGGTTTGGAAAAGAAACCATGTCATCTCTGACGCGACTAGGGATTTCACAGCCAAGCTCGCTCCCAGGTTTGTAGGTCCGATGGTTGTGACTCGAATTGTGTCTCCATGGACATATGAGCTTCAGGATGAGTTTGGCCGGGATTGCGGTATTTGGCACGCAAAAGATTTAAAAGCTCACCCCCCAGATTGTAACTGAAAATGAGTAGATTTTTTTT